TACAGACGTTTATCGGCCGTAAAGTTACACGCACGTGAATACGTGTGTCACTGATATCTCGAATCGCCACGGTGTAACACTCGACACGAGATCGCCAAGAATCTGCTCCTCTCGTACTGCGCCAACCTTGGATTATACCGCGGCACGAGTACGAAATGTGTTGCGCTGCTTCAAGATGCTCGCTCGAGCGGCGTGAGATAAAGCCTGCGAGAATTCTCCGAGACCCGCGTCGCGGACAATCATCCTCACAACGATGAAGGACGATCGTTACCATTGACTTTCATCGTTATTAAATAATAATATATGAATCGTACCACAGCGCTAATATTATCGCTTGAGATAAGGATATATTTCTCCGTAAAGCTGAAGAAACGAGAAATGACGCGAGAAGTCGCAGAGGGATCAAGATGTCTAAAGATGAGACAAGTTAAATTTACGTTTGAAGGCTATTAAATCCAAGAGAGAGAGAGAGAGAGAGAGAGAGAGAGAGAGAGAGAGAGAGAGAGAGAGAGAGAGAGAGAGAGAGAGAGAGAGAGAGAGAGAGAGAGGGGGAAAAGCGATTGACATTTATCTGAATTATCGAGTCAAAAATGGAATTACCTGGAATGAAACATAAAGTCAGGGGTATCCCGGATTCGGACCGACCTAACGCGCGCTCCGAGTCTCGATTAAGCGATCGAACCGATAACACATATATACTCGCCCAAATTACACGCTAATCCTCACATCACGAATTTAGATCAATCCCGGGCAGCTACGCGCCACACCAAATCGAAATATTGTATTATAAGCAATTTCACGTAACTGTGCAAGATTTCTCGTCTCATCCAACATGCCTGATCCAGATACAAAATACAGATGTTATCATAAAGTTATAAAGGAAAATAATTAAAGATAGATATACAACACGAGTCAGCTCTGAAACAACGGCAACAACAACCGGATTCACCGATCGGATTTTTTTGTCCCGTTTGCTACTGTAGATCGCAAACAGCTGAAATATAATTCATTGGAAAAAAATTTACTCGACTTTTCGGAACGAATTATTCTCTGATACATCTGGTATACTGGAGATATATCATATCGCACAAAATAATTCGCTGTCAATTTTTCAGTCGCGAGAATTAATGAAATATAATCGCAACGATACGTCGCACACGTAGTATAGCAAGGGTTAATAAATCATAAAATTCCATGTTCCCCGCGCGTCGCGTCACACTTTCGTCCTCCGCGTATCACAGAGGACCCAGAGTATCGACGCGACACGCACGTACACTGGTATATCAAGAATCCTCAAATTAATGCCGACTCGAAGAAGCCAGTCCGCTGTCTCAGTCGATCGCTCCCAAAACGAGATCCCGCATGTCTTTGTATCGTCGTGTTCGTATCAACGTGGGTGTCGAGAGAGCGAGGAGAGCGAGACGGCACGATACGGCGACGCATAACAACGAGAGATTAATTCGCCTCGAACGAACGAAGCTGAAAGAGATGGAGGGAAAGAGAGGAGAAGAGAGACAAGAGCGAGACAAGTGTGCCTCCTTTTTCGTGTTCGCCCAATTATGGAAGCGCTCGAGCGAGGAGGTTGTAGAAGGATCTCGGGCGCCAGCGGGACGAGGGGGAGTACCTCGCAAACTTGCTCCCCGAACGTCGATCTTACGTAAGGACACTTATCCGTCTTCGTCCCGTTTTCGAGGCAAACGAAGCGTAGAACATTGCGGCAATTGACGATAATGCGCACGTAGCCGAATCGCAAAGAACGACGTTCCCTTGCAAACTGTTATCATTCGACGAACCTCCCTTTTCCTCTGTCTTTTTCATCACGAACAAGAATGGCAAAATTTCGACGAACTGACGAACAATGCGCTTCACACTCCCACGAATCGCGATTTCTCTCTCTCTCTCTCTCTCTCTCTCTCTCTCTCTCTCTCTCTCTCTCTCTCTCTCTCTCTCTCTCTCTCTCTCTCTCTCTCTCTCTCTCTCTTCCGTCCACTCGCGGCAACAATAAAGTACTCTCCCGGCAGGATATTCGACGGGCGGATTACGGTTCGTTCCCACCGAGACTCTCGCTAATCTCCCTTCTTTTTCGTCAGGTTCTGTGCGAGCCATCTGAAATTCCAGCGCTAATCCGGGATCGCGTGGTACGATGCGACTTTCGTCGAACTGTGAGCTGATAGAGAGAAGGAGAGACCGCGCGGAGGTCTCTCCTGGGACACACAGAGAGATAGAGAAAAAGAGAGAGAGAGAGGGGGGAGGGGAGGAGGAGAGGAAGGATAGCCGAAAGGGAGAGAGTATCCGCGCGCCGGGACGAGGAATAAGTTAAACGCCCCCTTCGTGTGTATGTAGTGCGGCGGGTAGTGCGCGGGGCGCCGCAGGATGAATAATAATGAGCGACACATCCACACAGAGGGTCCTGGAGCGCGATGCTCGCTCGCTCGCTCACTCGCGAGCGCGCACGGGAACACCTCGTCGGGCGCCTTTTCGTAAAAAGGCCGTTAAGGTGCTACCTTAACGATCCCATGGGCCCCACGCCGCGGAGGGGGGCCCAGGGAGCCACGTGGAATGCAGACACGTAATGCTCGTAGAATGCGCCCGGGCCGCCGACCGCGGGGGAATTATTAGTGGATCCGTGTGAGACCCCCTGAATGCAACGGGCCCTCGAACAGGTCTATACGTGCACCGGATATATATATATATATAAAATATGTATATATGTGTGCGTGCGTGTGCATATACATACACACGTGCGTGCACGGGTGCGCAGGTACGAGAGCGGCAGGTACGGACGGAGTACCTGCCTGTTTGCGCCGGTCTCACGGCGCCTGAAAGCGAAGAGAACGGGCCTTCGCTTTCGGTCTGTGCGACCTGGCGCTCCCTTTGTTCGCGACTTGAACCAGCCCCGAAACCGACGCGCGATAAGACTCTCGCGATTACGCCAAGATTAGGGCCACGAAGCATACCTGAAGAATGCCTCAATGGGCCAAGGGAGAGGGTGAGAGAGAGAGAGAGAGAGATGCGGCGGAACGAGACACCTTGTTGCATCATTGGCACTTTAACACCGGATTTATCGTCGTGATCGCTGTTTCCCGTCAAAGATTAGCATAGTGGGATTAGATCATTTTCAAACACCTAGACCTAGGGAGAAACTGGCTGATTAGCGTACAGGAGGGATTTACTTTCTCGGTAAGCGAGAGTAAATCAAGTTGCACGAAGTATCTGTACCTGAGGTAGCAGTCTCTCTCTCTCTCTCTCTCTCTCTCTCTCTCTCTCTCTCTCTCTCTCTCTCTCTCTCTCTCTCTCTCTCCCTCCCTCCCTCTCTCTCTCTCTCTCTCTCTCTCTCTCTCTCTCTCTCTCTCTCTCTCTCTCTCTCTAACATATTGTCTCCGCAAACGTACATTTATATAATAGTAGATTCGTCTTCAAGTTTGTGATTTTAAATATACTCATAACCGAGCTCTGAAGTCACGAGGGCAATATCGAGAGTCGGCCGCAGATCGACGTGGTTTAAAGTGCGCTGAGCGGACCGCGCGGAGACTGTTCTTTCGTTAGTTAAGGCGAAACGAGGTGACCGGGAACAAGATACAACCGCAAATCGATTCCGGCACGGGAAGAGAGTCGCAGACGGTGAGACGGGAATCTGGCTCCTAAACGAGGGATCGATTCTGTCGTCGCGCGGCGCGGTGCGGCATGGCGTGGCCGCCCGTGTGAGAAACTTTTAATTGCGTTCCGCGCGCGCGTCAGCGGCCCATTTCGTTGAGACAGGGTCGAGAACCGGAACGAAGGGACGAGAAATGTGGTTGGTAGGTAGGTAGGTAGGTAGGTAGGTAGGTAGGTAGGTAGGTAGGTAGGTAGGTAGGTAGGTAGGTAGGTAGGTAGGTAGGTAGGTAGGTAGGTAAGTAGGTAGGTAGGTAGGTAGGTAGGTAGGTAGGTAGGTAGGTAGGTAGGTAGGTAGGTAGGCCAGGCAGGCAGGCAGGCAGGCAGGCCAGGCAGGCAGGCAGCCAGCCAGCCAACCAGCCAGCCAGCCAGCCAGCCAAGCCAAGTAAGCAGGCAGGCAGGCAGGCAGGCAGGCAGGCAGGCAGGCAGGCAGGCAGGCAGGCAGGCAGGCAGGCAGACAGACAGACAGACAGACAGACAGACAGACAGACAGACAGACAGACAGACAGACAGACAGACAGACAGACAGACAGACAGACAGACAGACAGACAGACAGACAGACAGACAGACAGACAGACAGGCAGACAGGCAGGCAGGCAGGCAGGCAGGCAGGCAGGCAGGCAGGTAGGCAGGCAGGCAGGTAGGTAGGTAGGTAGGTAGGTAGGTAGGTAGGTTAGGTAGGTAGGTAGGTAGGTAGATACGTAGATGCAAAAGGGAGGACGCAAGCGGATATGTAACTCACGCTTCCTTGATATGCGTGTGCATCGCGCGGAATTGTCCCGAGGAGGGTAACCAGAACCAAGAATAAGGTTGCGCGGGACGACGAGCGAAGCAACGAATGCGAAGAAATGAGTGTCAAAGCTCTTCAAGCTTTCTTTTTTCTCGCGAAGCTTCGAAAAGCGAAGCAACGAACGCGAAGAAATGAATGTCGAAGCTCTTCAAGCTCTCTTTTTTTCTCGTGAAGCTTCGAAAAGCAAACATCTTGAGATCGCTCGTGAGGTCCATCGACACATTGACTACCATAGACGAGGCCCATTGACCGGTGTCATCGCGTCTCGCTGTTTCACGTATAACACATCATCAATTGCATGTAACAAGTTAAACATGCGACCAACAGGAATCGAATGAAACGAGCTAGCAAACGTATGCATTTGTGCCATTTGCTGGTTGAAGTTCGAATTGAACGTTGAAATAATCAATAGAGATCAGCGTGACTGTCAACGTGTTGACCCGAATTTGACGAATCTTTCCCGGTAAGATCGATTCTCGAATCAGGATATCTTCCACTCCTGCACATGCAAACGGTACAAATCGGGGAAAATAAGCCCCGGGGAGAGATCGCACTCACCTTTTCCACGAGCCTGGGCCCATTCTCCAACGAGCGCAAAATGGCATCCGAAATGCGGGTGCCCAACTGTTTGACGGCGTTCACAGCATTCAGGCCCAGGGGATCGTTATGACCGTCCACTGCCACGACGAGCCTCTCGACCGTCTCCACGTAACCGGACCACGCGAGATCCAGTTCGGACGCCGGCTCGGTCAGGCAGCCCCTGCAACGTTTATTTGCATTTTTCTGCCGATGCCTCTGTGTCCCTCTCGCTCCCTCTCCCTCTCTCTCTCTCTCTCTCTTCCTCTCACGCGTAAGACGACGTGTATCAGTGTACACGCGAAAACGCGAAGTCGCAAATTCGCAGTCGCGAGCAACCGCACAATTACAAGTCCTCGTCGTGGATATCGTGTACAGAAATAACATCTCCGTAGATCGACAATTATAGGGGAATCAATTGTTAAATATCCGCCGCGGTAAAAGCGACGAAAAGCATTTCGATTTGTTGGAAAAATTCAACCCTATTCTCTGCCCCTTAATTGTAACTCAATCAATATATATTCGTTTACGCGATTTATTCTACTGAAACACGATCGATCGCGAGGAAAAACCTTCGAAGCATGTCGGGGCGAATATTCGAAATTCCTTCGCAAACGTTACTCACCTCATAACGTTGATGCAGAATCCGTTGCAGGGCATGACGGCGTTGCCGAAGCCTTTGCACCTGGGACAGTAGGTCATCCTGAGCATGGCGGCGTTGCAGGCCTCTTGCTGAGGGCTGCGGGTGCCAGGACCGAAGAGCACGCTGTCAGTCTTCTCGAGCACGGTCTTGCCGAGCGTGAGTGCCTGCACCAGCACCCTGGTGGCCTCCAGACTCTTGCTGACCGCGAGCGAAATATCCTGAGGTATATCGAGGAACGGTTGTATGTCGGCCATCGCCTCGTGCAGGCAAGCTTTGAACTTGTTCGTGAATTCTTGCTGGTCCTGTTGATGTTGCTGCGGATTGATGAGTTTGAGGTAGGCGATCGGGAACAAGCGCGTGAAGAAGTCGAATATGTGTTCCTGCAGCATCTCTCGGCTTAGAGGTTGCTGCAGGTTGTCTGGCGTGTTGGTGGGCGACACGTAATCCACCATCATCTGATAAAGCGCTTTGACGATCGGCCTACTCGGCTCCTCCATCGAACTGTATGCCTTTTGGAACATGATCAGAGTCTTATTCTCCGACTGTCGCGCCAGATTGGTCACCGAATCTGCGAAGATGGAGGAGAATCCACGGTCACTCTTTCATTGCTCTCCAGTTAGCAACTCGCGAATATTCGCGTTATTGTTCGTGTTATCGTTATATTGTAATATCATATACGAAGGACCTGATTCAGCATAAGTTTCATTCTTTCATGAGTTACGCGCGTATCTTGCTAGTGGATTCAAAATTTACTGAATTTTTGGCAAAGGAATTTGGTTAAATTTTAACTGCTGTGTAAACCGCTGTTTACACATCATCATTTTTCGTGAACCAGCTATACCATCGACTCGGTATCAATCTTTTCTTCGCCGTACGACAAAGTTCTTCGGTATTCTAGACATTCGTCGCTCGATAACTGATTGGCATGTTTGACGAACTCGTCATCGTATACAATGACGTATAATGTGGTAATAAACTATATTAGGATTTCAATATCGGGCAGTTGGCTCATAAAATTCTTTCCAAGTAATTCTACCGTCAAGAAATAACAAGAGCGATAACTTCCAGGTCAAAATATTCGAGAGGGAAAGAGAAAGAGGAAGAGAGAGAGAGAGAGAGAGAGAGAGAGAGAGAGAGAGAGAGAGAGAGAGAGAGAGAGAGAGAGAGAGAGAGAGAGAGGGAGAAGGAGAAAGAGGGAGCGAAAGAGCCGAGATGTTATCGTTACTTTTTCCTCTCCGGAATATTCATTTTTGTTACGGGGAGTGAGTCGCTTTTATCCATATTAGAAAAAATTGCTCAGAGTGAAAAGGTACAGGCGAGAGAGCGAGAGAGAGAGAGAGAGAGAGAGAGAGAGAGAGAGAGAGAGAGAGAGAGAGAGGAAGGGAAAGAAAGCAAGGACAGTTGTCTCGAGTTTCCGCCGGTATACCTCGCGCTGTATGGAATTTCCCTGCGGTTTATCCTCGCGCGTTTCCGACCCTCTCCCGCTCTCTCTTTTTCTCTCGCGCGGGTCTTTTTTCTCTAATCCAGCCCGGTGAAATAATTCATCGCGTAAACGCGGCCACTCGAGATTTCGCGAGCGTCGAGTTGAGCGCGTACTCATGACGACTCCTAAGAACGGACGTACTCTGCGCGCGAGCGCAAACGCTCGCGCGAGCGCGGGTGCTTAATCGCGAACGCGTAAAACGGAGGAGATGGACGATAAGTGCTTCTCGATTCCCCGCTTCAGTCTCAAGTGCCTCCGACGAGCATCTACACGCTTCTTCGCCCTCGAAGCGCGCGCGCGCGCCGCGGCGCGGCAGCGGCACCTTGCGGTTCTAACGATCCTATTAAGAGAAGTGGCAAAACGAGACCGTGGAACGGCAGAGGCGAGAGAGTTTAAAGATCTCCGCGCGTTTTTCTATCGACTATAAAAGTACACGGGGTGTCGATCGCGCCGCGCCGCGCCGCGCCGCGCGGTCGCGCGCGGGTTTGTTATATAATTATTTCATCATGGAAATCTCTCGGTGCGGACAAACACTCGAACACAACTGCGCGTTCGCTCGCGGTCCGCGCGCGATTTAATCGCACTCTTCTCGACCGCTTCTCTCACTTGCGAAAGACCACGAGGAGAAAGAGGGGACGGTATTCTCCCGACGCGACGAGTCGCGCGTGTGTCGTGAGCAGAAAATTCGGACCCGACCAAATTATACCGGTTTCTCGATCTTTGATTTGCGACACCACGCGCCGGAATCGCATCGCGGTGTCGCACGCGCGTGAACATGAGTCGCAAGTTTCCCACCGCGTTGCGCGGATCGCAACGCCGAGTGTAATTTATTTTTAAGTGGACATGCCTCGGTTGACGTGACTAAAATTAACGGCATATAAAAATACGCGTCGCGATCTCCCGCAGCCGTCGCGTCGTCGTGCGTTCGGTTGCTCTTTCTTTCTCGCACTCTCTATTTCGTCCGTTCTGCTTCCTCGCCAATGGGGACGGGGGGCCTTGGTGCCTTTCTTTCGTGTGAAACGTTATTTGTCGAGGCGGATCGTGCCCGCGTTAATTGAGACTTCAAAGGCGGTGAATCACGACCGCTCGAATTTGTTTTCCTTCAATTACCGGGATTCCGCAGACGCGCCGCGTACGTATACGATGGAGAGCAACTAAATCCGGCAGTGACCGTCTCCTTCCTTCTTCCTCCTTCCTGCACGACTCACCGACATGTACAGCCGCAATTTCGCCCGTCCGCTCGTAATATCGTCTTCGAACTCGATTACGAGCCTCTTTCGGAACTGATTTACCGTCGCGACGAAACGAGCGACTATCGCGCGCCAGTCCACTCCAATCGTGACTATCCAAGGTGCGATAACTTCAGTAGGAAGCGACTTTCCGCCCGAGGTATCGCGGAGCGTCGCAAACTTTTCGATCGTTTCGAAATGCCATTCGAGCGTACGTAATAGGACAACCGACGGACAAATCGGAATAACTCCGACCGGAAAATCATCAAAATAAACCCGAATCAATTTGTCGGCTCGTTACACCGGGACTCAAATCGCAAAAATTCGGGTCTCTCCATCTTTCTTGATATTTTGTTGAGGCAGTCCGCTTTTGCATCTCGTTACCGGGATAGAAAATAACTCTTGCGTTTCGAGTTTACTGAAAAAACGTTTCACGGTTTACGGATTATCTCGCTACGGGATTCCTGAAATATACGCGCGCAAATATTCGTGTGGTACCAGATAGCGACCGATAAACGAAAGTCGTTTAAAAGGGGGTGGGTGGGATCGGAAGAGAGAGAGAGAGAGAGAGAGAGAAAGAGAGGGCTTAATTTCAAGCGAGGGTGAAAAATATACCGACGCGGACACTCTTCTCTCTCTTTCTCTCATACGCGAGGATATAAACACTTCGCGCGCGCGTCGCGGTCGAGAGGAAGTACATTTTTCGCGGTATCGAAAATAGCTGAGAGCGAGAGCGGTCGCGGCCTGCGCTCGTGAATTCTAGACGCCGCGTTACCGAGGCAACGACACGCACGCGGACATGCGTCTCTCTCTCTCTCTCTCTCTCTCTCTCTCTCTCTCTTTCCTTTCCTTGCTTTCTCGTACTCTCGAGTTTTCGCGCCTGCTATCTCCCTCGGTCTTACCTCGTTTTCCATTTCTACCGCGTACGCCGGTTAATGCACACCGGTATAAATACCAGTGGCGAGGAACACGTAACCGCGAGGATAACTGAAAAGCCGCGCGATCGAGTCATTTTTCACAAACATTACTTTGTCGGTTATTTCGACATGAGTTGCACGATTTCAAAAGTTGCAGTGTATCTCGGCCGAAAGCGATTTAATGTGAAAACTGCGATACAATTACGGAGAATCCTCGTAATCCCGGCGAAAAACGATACAAACTCCGCGTACAATTTATAGTAATGAAAGGTAACATGAAATGCAACGAATCAGTCGCGAAGCGATCGACGTTTAATATCGTATCGATGTCTCGTGAACGCGAATTCAGACTGTCGAGAACGGTTGGTCGAGTGCTCGAAATAAGAAGTGACACGTTCGCGGCCTCTTGTAAACGAAGCACCGACCCGATGCGGGAATTAAAGAGATAGATTGTACGAGGAGAGGAGAGGAGAGAGAGAGAGAGAGAGAGAGAGAGAGAGAGAGAGAGAGAGAGAGGAGCGTACGAGAAGCAACAGCAGCAGTAATAGCAAAGAAAGAGAGAGAGAGAGAGAGAGAGAGAGAGAGAGAGAGAGAGAGAGAGAGAGAGAGAGAGAGAGAGAGAGAGAGAGAGAGAGAGAGAGAGAGAGAGAGAGAGAGAGAGAGAGAGAGAGAGAGAGAGAGAGAGAGAGAGAGAGAGAGAGAGAGAGAGAGAGGAGAGAGAGAGAGAGAGAGAGAGAGAGAGAGAGAGGTAGGGATAGCGGGCTTCGCTTTCTTGGCCCCGTATAAGGCGGCATGCGAAGCCGACAACTTCGAATCTTCCCTGAGACGAACCTCGGACGAGTTTTGCAGGGATTTCTCGAGTTCGTCCGAAATCATCCGCGATAATCGTCAGTTCTTCTCGAGCGTTAACTCTTTTTTCCACTGTCGAGACGAAAGCGACAGGGAAAACAGACAGCTTCTTTTCAAGACGGAGGAAAGGAAGGAGAAAACGAAAGGGGCGCCTCCTTCCCTCTGTCGCGCTTTTGCCGATACAAATTTATAATAAATCGCGATTACCCCGGGGATCGGTTGAAAAATTCAAATTCCGAAGACGAGATGGCAAAAACGAAAGATAAACTCTGAATGTTTCGAGCGGGTTTCTACTGGAGGAACGGATACTACAGCTGGGCATTATTGAAGTTTCGACGGTGCAATTTCAGATTGTCCCGATCCGCGATCTTCTTCAAGGTAATTCGATAATTCCAGCGATCTAGCGATTAGGGTATTTCTCTTTCTCTCTCTCTATTGCATACCGCGCACGCCTCCGGGATAACGTTCACAAGGCAATTTCGTCGGCCATACTCAAGTGTGTCGTGTACAAACACAAACTCGCCTCGTTTACCGTAATTCGCGTCTCGCGCGCTCAACGATAACGTCGTCGTTGTGAGTTGGTTCTTCGCGGTTTTGATTGAAAATTTAATCGTCGCTCCAAATGCATTCGCTTCGGTGACAATCAAGAATTGTCTATTACTAGATTTTCGTCTAACATTTTGCTGTTAGACACACACATTTTATATTAAAGACCTTTTTCGCCGACGTCTATTAGTATTCGATGGATCCTAATTAACAAAACTGCTCATTGACGTCGTATTAATGATTCACGGAGCAATGGGAATTGCTTGTATGATTCGCAGACATTAATCGACACTGACAAAATCGACCTCGAATAGCTCGAAAAGATACGATATCAAACACTGTGTTTCCAGGAACACAGGAAAGAGAGAAAAGAAGAAAAATACAGGAAATGAACGGAGGCAGACGCGTGGTTATAAATTTCTTAAGGACGCGTGAAACATACTTCACGCTTTTCACTATATTTTTATGTGTATTTGTTTCGGTGCGAAAAATACTCCCTCGGTAATTTCAGTGGCGGTATGCGTTAAGAAGTTACAGAAAAGGTCTCTTACCTCTGAGAGAGTCGGCGGTAGTGACGAGGAGACCCTGCAGGGTCCTACTGTGATGATGAATCAGATTGTGAAAATCCGTCCGGGCTTGTTGCTTCAATCGCTTCTCCATTTCCTCGCCGCAGCACTTGCCACCGCATACTGCTGAAAAGAAAAAGAGGAAGAGAGAAATGAGAAAAGAGAAGTAGTATTTCGCGTAGTTACTATGCGACAGGTAGACACACTTGCACAGACGAAAACAGGAGCCGAAAACATGCGCTCCCCTTTTATTCGACTCGAGTTAAATCAAATTGAAGAGAACGCGAGGGGATATAAATTGTATATTAAGCCGCATAAATTCGCACGCTCGTTCTCGCTCACTCGTTCGCCCGCTCGCGTCCGTATCTTCAAAAGTCGGCTATGTCTGACCCATTTTTCCGCAAAAATTACGGCTATCGTCCGTAAAAGCCTAACATGAATGATGATTAAAATCCGATCGTAGATTCCGATAATTCGATCACACGGAAATTGTATCGCGCCGAACTGTTTTACCCTCCCCTCCCCCGCTCTCTCTCTCTCTCTCTCTCTCTTTCTCTCTGATATTTCATTCTATAAATTAATCGAATTTCATCAACGCGTGTGCACACAATTTTACGCTCGTACGTGTATCTCTTCGCGCGTAGCACGCGCGCGGATTTTCGAGCGTAACCAAGCGGGATTACACGCGATCGCGATTTGCCTGCGATATATTTCAAGCCTCTTCGTCGTCCCTGTCGCGCTGCGTTGACGATTTTTACACACGCAAGGCTCGCTCGGTAAATAAAAGTTACCAAGCGCGCGTTTAGCACGTTAATAATATCATGTTGGGTAGGGGCCGTGCAGTAGTAATAGCAACGTTATGCCGCGCGATAATTTCAAGCGGGATCGGAAAATAATGCCGTCACGATCGATTGAAATCCTGCGGATGACGCGCATTCCTCTTCTAGCCGGCGGGCGAACCGGTTTCGCGAGCACGAACGCTGCATCGAATTTAAAGAGACCGGGGTTGTATGTTATACTTATTTATAGACAGGTCATATATTTATATTATATATGTAGCGCGCGCAAAAGAAAGGATGAAATGTAAATAGATGAATAATATACGGAGATGCAAAAATACACAGAACCAAACGAAGAAATAAATGTAGAGATATATGCTGGCACAATACACAGATGTGAACGTAATTCAAGTATCGCCGTCATGTGCGCGCAGGTCATTTATCCGTTCGTCCGAAGAACTCGTACACGGTCGTATTGTCGTCCGTCGAAAGTCTAAAGCCGTAACAACGCGCACGTTACACGTTCTTCTTATTTTTACGTCGTTAAAAATAAGCTGTCGCGGTTCGCGAGCGACGAATAACTTGTCACACTGACGAAGAAAGAAATAGACACGTGTTACGCAATGTGCACTGCGTCGCGGTCGTATTAGCCAATAGGATTAATAGCTTCGAAGTTCCGAGAAACGTCATAAATCAAGATCAACAACGTTGGGGGACGAACGCGACGGAAATGTAAACGAGTGAGAAAAAATCGGGACACGGCGAAAAAATAAATCGCAACACACGATATCGCGCGCGCGCGCGCCTCAGGAATCTGAGGAGGAATACTTCATGTTCAATTTTTCCCTCTTCTGGAGAAGTCTCACTACCTCGGTCGGTCGATCAATCGCGCGAGACGAACTATAGTTTTCTCTCAGAGAATTCCATTTTACCGAATACTTTATTCTCCCCATGTATGCAAACGAGCAAACACGATACGACAATGGAAAATCTCGCATATTCAGTCGAATCAAATTGGAGACTAACAACGTCCGACAAATTCCGCGTAAGATCTGATATCGAGAAGAGAGAGAGAGAGAGAGAGAGAGAGAGAGAGAGAGAGAGAGAGAGAGAGAGAGAGAGAGAGAGAGAGAGAGAGAGAAAGAGAGAAGAGAGAAATTACCGCGAAACGAAAAGAACCGACGATTAGGCGCGTTCGCGCTGACAAGAAGCAAGTTCAGCGTAGTTCAGAGTGAATTACGCGTTAACGTCGCGTCGCGGGAAAAATAAAGATGGATCGAGGCCGCTCTTTTAGTAAATTTCCAACCCAAGACGCAGGGAACACAGCCTGTTACTATAAACGCGGAAAAACTTTGTTCACTTCGCTCTTCTGTGGTGTAAGTATCGTATTATCGTGTACGCGCGATTTCGAATCGCGGTCTTGCGCTAACAATCGCGATTATACCGGGTGAGAAAAGTCGTCTTTAGAAATATCCGTCGTATTTAATCGCGCGCCATGTTCGCACCACGCGCTTCGCTCGTGGGTGGAAACGTTAACGTCCGTCCCCGTACTTTCCTCTTTCTCCGTCGAGAAAACTGTTAACCGTCACATCAATTAACATCAAGTCATCGACCACCATTGTCGATGCGCAGAGAGAGACCCGAGGAAGCAGATTTAAATCGAGCCGATCTCAATCGAGACGAATGCCGGCCAATTAATCGTACGTTGTGAGAAAAAAAATCTGCTATCTCGGCGAAGAAGTTCGCCAGAGATTCGTGATTCGCCGCAAAATGGAAATTAATCTGGAGAGTGTCAACGTCCCGACGAGCGAACGGCTTGACGAAGTTAATGTTTACGTTGCTACTCGCGCGCTTCGCCACAATGCTTACTCGCAAGACCGTCTCTGACATGAGTGACCTCAAATTGACAACATTGATAAAAAGCGTTGTATATAACAGCAGAACTAGTAATTCTCTTCGAGCGAGACATTCTCGACGTTCTTCACGTGTCTCATTTCTCAAATGCAATTGTACCAAAATATCCAAATCCGTATCGAGCCGCGCTGGAAGATCACGCGGATTAATCGGATATTATCAAGCCGGCGAGACGTCAATCGGGAGAAAGCAATGGAGAAACCACGTGATGAATGCGATCACGACACCTGTCATCGCGCGACAGAGCACAGAAGCACTTACTCGTGGAGGGATCCCTCGCGGTTCCATCGGCCGGCAGCAGGCTGATATTCTTGCCGTCGAAGAACGGCCTGACCCGGTCGCAGTCCGCGACGTTGACGGCGACGAAGAAATCGGTGTCGTTGCCGGCGGAGCGCACGCGAAGCGCCGATCTCGCGTATGCCGTGCGGGCACAATCGCACACCACGAGAAGAACGATCGCGAGCAGGACCGGCGCGGAGAGCGCGGCTCGCGGTGTTATTTTCATTTCGGCAAAATGGCCCCGGCGCGACGGACGGCCGGAGAAAGAGAAGAGAGGAGAGGAGAAACCCGAGGGGAAAACGCGCGCGCGAGAAATCGGCGGCGGAGATATTCGCGAGAAATTGTTTCTCTTTTTCTCTCTCTCTCCCTCTCCCTCCCTCTCTCTCCTCGTCAGTGGTCCTTGCACCTCTCTTCGCCTGTTCTCACGCAGCTCTTTCCTCTTCGTCTCTTTTACGGATTAGAACCGATCGCTGCTGGAGTCATCCACCGTATCGGAACGCGATGATCGTTCCTCGAACGACGGCGGACGCGCCGTCAGACAGCACGACGGCGACGGCGAAAACGAGCGGCGGTATTGCTGCGAGCACTCGGAGCATGCGGCGCGAACATTTGGTGCGTTCGCGAGGGGGCGGAGGAGAAGAAGAAAGAGAAGGAGGAAGAGGAAGAGGGAGGAGGTGAAGGACGTGAAGGAGGAAAGGAGAGACAGAGGTAAAGAAAGAGAGAAAGAGAGAGAAAAAGGGGAGAGAGAGAGAGAGAGAGAGAGAGAGAGAGAGAGAGAGAGAGAGAGAGAGAGAGAGAGAGAGAGAGAGAGAGAGAGGAGAGGTCAAAGACGGCGATCGCGACGAGTCCAGGCGATCACATATATCCTCCAACAACGCTCTCGGCACATGCACGCTCGACCACTTGGTTCGTGTCACAATGTGAGATGCACATACGTATTTTTCGCGTGAGTGTGCGTGTAGATACACACACACACACGCACGTGCGACTGACGGACGGACGAACGCGAGCAAACCACGGGCGCACGCACGTACGCACGTACGCACGCACGCACGCACGCACGCACGGAGGCGGACTCGCGAGCGCGAGAGCGAACGGAGCGAGACGAGAGCGCACCACGTACACCTATCACGAGTGACTCGACGAGACTGAAATTGACGCGAGTGAAAAACGGCTCGAACGAATTCGGCCGGTGGCGCGCGCATGCTCGTTCGCGACAGAAGCGCGGTGTTGAAAACGGAACGCGGCGACATCTCACGGTGGAAAGTCGAGATCAATGCCTGTACCTTAACGCATCGTTGGTAATGTTTACGATTGGTTGCCGGTGGTTGTACAAGCTATCAAGATCTTTCTTACCGGCCGTCCCATAATGGAAATGAGAATACATCTATCCCATGAGAATACATCTAAAGGATCAATTTTATCCGATATCATAAAATGTATCAGTAAACATATGGCAGAATTAAAGCCCCCATAGTAACCGTCATTGCTGAAGACTTGTCTCATTTGAAATATTCAAACATGAGCTTCCTGAATGAAGGAAAAGAAACGTGTGTATATAATTATACGTGTATTATTCGATTCGAATAAAACAATTGAAACAAAATTCAGATCTAATTGTAAATTTGAATATTTCACGCAAGACACAAGAATAAACAACTATTGATATAGACTTGAATGGATTTGTATGGAAATTTGGTATAGGTGTAACTAATTAATCTTTGGCCGAAATAATGTTAATGTGTCGGCATATTGTTTTAATTTAATGTCATTATAATAAACGTATACTGAGTAGATAAGTGGGTTAAATAGAAAAATGCAAACCTTCTTTCATTGGCACAGAGCAGAGCGCCTTTCAAGATACAAAAATATAAGCGACAGACACGATCCTCGTGTTAACGAATCAGATGAAAGTAATCATTCTCCTGGTCTGATTGACCTGCCACACGTTCAGCGCTTCGTACTCCTCGATGCACTTGTACACGGGGTCGGGTTTAAACCCTTTGCTCGTGCATCGCTCCAAAATGTCGGATACTTTGACCGTCTTCTTATCACCGGCGAGTTCCCTTATCAAATGGAAAATGCGGTTGGTCGGATTCTGTTGCGCAATGTTTGTACGGTGTTCGGAGTAATTGATGGAATGCTTGGACATTTCAACGAGCCTGTTCGCTTCCGCTACATCGTCCTTCTCGACCACATTCGACAGACGCAATCGTGCCAGCGCCGTTGACAACCGCAGAACACCCAGCAAGTTACGAGCGGAAGTGAATGTCTTGTCGTGGCTGTTACGCGCTTCTTTTCGCATTTCCACGTAAGAGTCTGTAATTTTGTAAAATATCCGTCGAATACTTTGATGCGCATATACAACGAGGAATAATCTCTAATAAGGTACAACACAGCATCTTGTTCAACCATGTTAAAATAATATGTAAACTCCATAAGAAATAATGTTAGTTATGCATATACATACCCACGATAAATTCTGTTAATTCCTCCGATACGGTGGGTTCTTTCGTCTTACATAAGTTTATATATTTTCTAATCAGTTTCATGTCGAAAGCCTCCGTCTCTGTCGGAGGTTGCGAGCAATGTTGATGGACATAGGTGATGTGCTGCGCCAGTCTAAAAGAAAACATTTCTATTAATTTACGAATGAAATATATAAACTTTACATCAATAGAAAGCTATGTTACGAAATAATTATCAAATTAAAGACAAATAATTTACGTGATATTTATTATTATCGGAAAGAAACTGATTGATAAACTAATACCTACTTGAGATCGTTACTTCGATCCGCACGATCCTGAATGAGCCACAATAGGTCGAATCGCGATAACAACGCGGCGGGCAATTGAATATTTTGCTCGACCGTTCTCTGCGGATTGTATCTGCCGTAAGCCGGATTGGCAGCGGCTAATATGGAGACCCTAGCATTCAAACGAGCCATTATACCGGCTTTGGCAATCGATATAGTCTGTTGTTCCATCACTTCGTGAATCGCCGTTCTGTCCGCGTCTGCCATCTTATCGAATTCGTCAATGCAACATACTCCATGATCCGCCAATACTAAAGCACCACCTTCCAGTATCATTTGACCAGTCAAAGGATCTTTCATGATGGCAGCGGTCAAACCTACGCCTGATGATCCTCTTCCGGTGGTGTACTGTGATCTCGGAGCTAATCGTGTAATGTACGATAATAATTGTGACTTGGCCACACCAGGATCTCCCATCAAACAGATATTAATGTTGCCTATGATTAATTTTAATTCAGCTGTTATTTTGAATAATTTATTTATTTTGTCATATTATATAGTAATAGAACAAAAATGGGCATCTAAAACTAAAGGCAAATCCATGTTATAAGATAATATAAAATAAAGATAACAAATGTTGTACAGGAATAAATTATGCGACTGATATAAATATTGATTAATAAAATTCATATTTTTTTACCTCGAATCTTGATATCGCCTTTCTTCTTGTCTGTTCCACCTACAAGTAGCAATAGCAATGCCTTTTTTACATCCTCGAGCCCGTAAATCTCGGGAGCTAAGGACCTAGCCAACTTGCTGTAAAAATCATCCTGCATCAGCAAACTTAATTCTTCATCTGTTAGTTCAGCGTTGCTGTCATCGGTCGAGTCAGTATTATTAAGACATATTATTTTCTGAAACAAAACAATCATTTTACATCAACAAATAAAGAACGACTGTTACTGTAAAATCGATATACTTATTCTTACATGTGCGTCCAAGTAAGTTTCGCTAGAAAGTGCAGGGCCAGATTTAGCATTGTAACCAGTCTTCACAAAGGGCAAGAACACACCAGTCACAATCACATGATCTCCCGGCATGCAATTTCTCGTTGTTTCGCCTCTGCAGAAGATGGTCAAGGATCGTGGTATATGACCGACTGGCACTTGTTCACTCTGCAAAACATAAATTTTAATAATTGTTTAAATCTTAAGAGGCTCTTCAAGTATTCACAAACTTACATGTTCTTGTAGTTTCATTTCTTGAAACTTGATAAATTTCGAGCCTTTCGTTTGCATGTACAGCCTACCACCTGATTTATTCACGCGACATCCGTCGCTCGGACAAGTCCGTAATGGCATAAAACTTAAAGATTGTATCTGAAATGATAAATTGCACAATAAAATAGAATTAAAATCTTTTTGTATATAATTTTTGTATATAGGAACTATAAATAATTATGTTAAAAATGCAAAAATACCATTAAAGTAAAATTTGAATTCAATTTACTTACAGGTTGGCTCACTTCTGAACCACATTCATCGCATGTATAAGTTGCCACAACAACCATTGGTTTTACTTCAGTAGTTTTTGTAACAATACCCCTAACAGTCACCAATTTTCCAATCTTATCTGCTTTAATATCCCTTACTGAATAAGCTTTTGTATCAGAAAAATCTTTAAAATATACTTCGCTGAAAGTCATAAGTACTTTTGTAAATTGAAAAATTTTACTTTATCTAACAAATATTCAAACAAATTAAATTTTCTTACAAACGACGCATCAATTCTGGAGCATATTGTATTCTGGTGTCATGAACATCACCTGGTTGTCTGTTGCGAGCTTGCATTACTAATCGATGTTCCATATAAATATCTAAAGAATCCTTAGGTAAAACCGTTTTCTCTTTAAAGTCAGGTAACATTTCTTGAACCAGCTATATAAAAAAGAAATGATTACCATCATAATTAATATTGCCACATACAACAGTTGATTTTGTATAGTTATTTCTAATTTAAAAATTTATAAAATGATTAAGTTTTTTACATACATCCAAAATTAAATTAGTATATCTCCTTGTATTGTTTACAATGGATGTGGCCAAGTCACTATCAAACATCTGTATATCATCTAAATCAATTTCAAAGCTAATCTGTTCTCTGTGTGCTATTTTAGTAAGCTGCTGTCTGTACTTAAAATGTTTATCTGGCATTTTGTCATTCATTGCAACAAACTCCAGGAAGAAAGTCTTCAATTGTTCTAAAATATTTATTACATTTATATTAGTCAGCTTATTGTGTTCAGATAGATTATTGCTACAAAAGTAATGGGATGAATTTTTGCATAATGGTAAATGTTTAATAGTATACCAAAATATTATTTCATGTCATTCTAATAAGTACTAATAAGTTTCATTGACATATCAAATGACGTATTCTAAACACTTATTTCCATAAGTATTTAATAGAAATTTTGCATGGTTAAGTATGTGAAAAATGTAAAAGTAATTACCTCTGTCTTTAACATAATCTCTCGATACTTTGCTCGCCATTTTTTACGAATTCAAATATAAATACTTTTGTTCAATCGTTCTCTTGAATTTATTCCTTAAATTCCTTTAATTTATTCGTATTTATTCCTTAACGAATATTAATTAATTGGTTAAATGTCGTTCTTCTGTGTTTGCCCGTTTTTCCCGCGTAAAGTATGAAACCATAATTCGTATAACAAATAGATTATGAGCTTATAAACAGATTTAGGATGCAGTCGAGCAGCACCATGCGGACTCGGCTTATACTCAATATCAATGAAAACACTACCTAAATGTCGTATTTCTCGAAGCCATCTATTGAACCAATTGGAAAATGGCATGTGGACATTATTTCGGAACAGTCCGGAGCCAAAAATAGAACCAACCAACCAACCATCTATTGAACTATGAACTAAATACTAGGGAAAATGGCGTATGGGTACACCCTTCTACCAGAGAGGAAGCTGAGAGCGGCCAACACGGCGTTTTCGGCGACACCGATTTTTCGCACTGGGAATGGGCGCTATATGCATCCATTTTGAGAGGGGAACTACGATGTTACATCCACTTTTAGGTCTCGACGGTAAAACCTGCATCTGGTGGCTGTCCGTGCTACATCCACTTTCAGGCGGTTTATGTCCGTGCTACAACCATAATACCGTACTTGACAAGCACGGTCTCGCGCATTGTTATGCATTTATAACATGAATTAACATGTTAACATGCACAAAAAAAATAAGAATTGAGATTGTATATGATTAATATCATGAAGATTATATACGATTTATATCGATATATAAATATATGATAATAAGATAATATTTTGTGTGTACCCAAAATTATTTTTCCAAAATATTTCAGCGTTACGTTAGTATTTATTTATACTCTGACAGGCGTTTTTTAGCGCAGTTGTGTCCGTGTACATGTGTTGCATTGAAAGTGTGCGTGACGTACGTGTGCATATACGCACTCACACACACACACACACACACACACGTGTCACACATACGCAACAGATAGAATCTCAGGGTATATGCTTAAACATTTTCAATTGCCGTACGTTTCTATGTAAGAATGTAGTCGGCACACACACACACAGAGAAACTGCTCCCGTCTATCCGTCTGAAGTCCCGCCCTCCGCTCGGCTTGTTTTGACGAGCCAAGCGAAAGAGAGAGAGAGAGGGAATGTGTTCGCTCCATCTCGCTCTGATTCGCAACGTTGCCGAGATTGTGCTTCCCGACACACGGCCGAGACTGACGTTTCACTCTCGGCGTGAATCCAACGAGATGATCAATAGCAATCGATTTCGACTAAACTCGTTGTGTCGATAGATTTGCATGACAAATTAACATTACACTAAAGATACGGCGTAGCATTGAAGCGTTTGCAAGAAAGTCGCGATTGAAAATCGCGAGTGCTTCATGAACCAAATGAAGGAGGGAGCTTTTCAAAGAGCGTGTGGCTTGGTGGAAGTACGCTGGACTCGCGGGGTTGAGGGCGGTGGTTCGCATCTCCTTGGCGGTCGGCGTTGTCCTTTTTCGCCAATCATTTTTTTTTCGTTTTTTAGGAAAATGCACGTGTTGCATACAACATACGTGTATCACAATAAATTTTTTTTCATTTTTTAAGAAAATGCACGTATTGCATACAACACACGGGCATCGCAAGCATTGCACGTTTCGTCGATGACATTTCCTCTGAAACCCCGCCCTCCGCTCGACTTGTTTCGACGAGCCAAGTAAAAGAGAGACAGAGAATGTGTTCGCTCCATCACCTCTGTGAAAATGGCCCTTCATTCTTCAAATTTGAAAAAAATTATTAGAATTCTGAATGCCCCTCACAGAGTTCTAGAGTTCGCAATCCTTTATAGAAAGAGTTCCGTCATTTAAAGTAGAGAAAATACCATTTTAAAAATCGGAGGGCCAACTTCACGACGCCCCTCATTATGTAAAAAATGACAATTTTTTTAGAGTTCTAGATAGATTTTTAAGTTCTATAGTTCTAGATAAGTTTTAAAAATAGTTCTGTTTAAAACAATAAGAAAAATTATATTTAAAATTCTCGAATTAGAAAACGAAAAATGGCAAGAACTCTACCAATTTTGGTTTTAGCGCGTCGCGTATTAATAATAATCTTTAGAACTCGTAAGGGGCTAACCAGAACTCTGAATAAAACATCGGATTTTCAAAAAAATTGATTGTTTATTAAACACGTAAAATTTTTTTTCGGAAATCCGATGTTTCATTCAGAGTTCTGGTTAGCCCCTCACGAGTTCTGAAGATTATTATTAACACTCGGAACGCTAAAACCAAAATTGAAAGAGTTGTCGCCGATTTTTGTCCCTTGAGTCGAATATTTCCATGTCCCTCGGATCGAAAGATTTTTTCGGAAATCCGACGTTCCATTCAGAGTTCTGGTTAGCTCCTCATGAACTCTGAAGATTATTATTAACACTCGGAGCGCTAAAACCAAAATTGAAAGAGTTCTCGCCGATTTTCGTCCCACGAGTCGAATATTTCTATGTCCCTCAACTCGAAAATCGGCGAGGACTCTTTCAATTTTGGTTTTAACGCTCCGAGTGTTAATAATAATCTTTAGAACTCGTGCGGGGCTAACCAGAACTCTGAATGAAACGTCGGATTTCCGAAAATAAATTTTCTGAGTGAGATAGGAGTCGCAATTTATGGAAAAATGTAGCGTTTTTACAGTGAAATCCGGTGATCGAGGTGGAAAATCGATTGACCCATATTTGCCTATTTACGTATAGGGAAAAATATTATTATATTATCATTATTACATATTATTATCTCGATACACGAATCACTACAGCCCTCTTTCAGCAGTTAAACGTACGTTGTACTAACAACTATCGCCGCTACGTGGCGCCCGATGGCATTGGCATACTCGAATTAGCGATTCGGAGAGGATAAAATGCGAACGTAGCAGTTGTAAAGCATCGCTTCTCGGCTCTCTGAGCTAAGATCAAAGTGCAAGATCGCAATAATTACAATAATTTTGTATTTACTCCGGGGGGCATGCCCCTCGGGGAATATTTATTGTCTAAATAAAGTATCGAAGGTTAAAGTACTTTTCGGCCTACCTTTGGGTACTTCAAAATTACGGTACTCCGTTGTCCAGGGCTCGCGCGCGTTGCCTCCCCTGTCGACCACATGTATAGAAAGAAAATTTGATCTTCGTTCAGGGAAGGCGATTGCCTCGTGCGATTCCGCGTCTGAAAATTAACTGTGTTAATTATTGTGAAAGAAAGTGGAATAAATGCCTCTAGGATATTATATTTACCTGTATTTACCTTCTTGCGCTGATATCCTGGAGGCGAGGAGTGGCGACTATACTGGCTCTGTCGATGGATGTTTGTGGACGGCTGTAGAGGCAGGAAAAATTAATAAAACTTTTGCGTCGAAATCCGACCGGCGTGCAGTGGAGCTGTAGAACAAATTTGAGAGAAAGACGAAAAATTTTCTAAGTCCAGTGACGGGCGACGTGTTGCTTTGTCACATTGCCGCATTAATAGCCCGTCACTGGCAATAAAATATTAATTATTAGTTGTCGCACGTGTTGGCGAGGCCTGTGGCGGGCACACACTCATATTAAAAAACATCTGTTGTTAATAAAAAGTCCCGCCACAGGCGTTACAAAGTACAAGGAGAAGCGGCAGCGCGCCGAGCGTAAGTCCCGTGACAGGTGCAACGCTTATATCTCGATTAGTAAGCACAATTTCACTAAGCACCTATCGCGGGCAGATAAAGCACACTCCACTGCATACGAAACGTAGGTCCCGCGGCGGTGCAACTGTCTTTTTACGTGTTTTTTCGACGTTGCAAACCGCCCGCCGCGGGCAGCCGGTCGGACCTGCCGAGCGCCGTTGGAGCGCCGCTCCTTGAGCGCGGAATCGACACGCGGGCGTTTTTGCGTGTTTTTTAATCTCGAGTGTGCACGTCGCGTTACTGACCGTGCCGGGGGTCAGCGGGTATACGTCCGTCTTCGCTGCCACCGTCGGCGCGCGCTCGCCCGTCGCGCGCGTTTTGTCGCGTCCGCCGCTCGGCCGCGGGGTCGCGGATCGGGACGGGACTTGGCGTCCCGAGTGACGCGTGCCCTCCACTACGCGGAACACCGGTCACCGAGCGCGGCACTGCACCATACGCTATACCGGGGCCGTTGCGAAGCGGACGGGAGGTGCTCGCTGACGGGCGCCGGCCGTCCCGCGCCGTGACCTTCGCACGCTTGTTTCTCGCCCGGTCGTTCGTGGAACATCACCGCAGGCGGACACTCGGTTAGGGCGAAACCTCCCCCGCGAGGTTCATCGGTCGCGGACACTCCGCGGTCGCTGGGCCGATCGGTGGAGGCGTAGCGTACGAGAGCCGTCTCGGTGCCCGCGACCGACGGGGTGAGAAGCTTGTCAAAGCAATTTCTCGCTCTCCGGGTCGCGAACAGAAGCGGCACTCGAGTAGCGGGTGAAGCGACCTTTTCCCAACGCGGTGCATCGGTCGGTGGGTGCGGATTGCACCCTCACTCCGCGCACTGATCGTTGCACTGCCGCGAGAAACCGTTGCGGACGACACTCGGTGCGCACGTGATCGCGACCTTGCGAGCGGGATTTGTTTATCTCGCCGGGCGGCGGTTAAAATTTCAATTTAATTTTTATTACTATATTTTAGCGAAATGTCGGTGTCGCCCGTCCAGGTCGTCATCCCGTTCCCGCTCCCGGACAGGGTAACCTGCCCGAGGTGCTTCGGGAGGGACGTACCTGGACAAAGGGCGCGGGGATCCTACGTCGACAGGCTGCATCTGGCAAAGCACCAGAAGAAGTTCCACCCCGACGACTCCGTCACGTACAGGTGTTCTGCGTGTGGGTACACGGGTACGGGTGCGTACCCTTTGAAAAAAGTACGGACCCACTACGAGACTCTGCACGGGGCGGAGTCGCCGGAGGTGGCACCGCCGGATGCGGCCCGTCGGCGTTCCCCGCGTCCGACGCCGACACCGCCGTCATCACCGCGGGCGAGCGCGTCGTCGGCGGCGTCGACGTCGCGGGCCGGTAGGCTTGAGGCGCGCGGGGCGGTGACGCGCGGGGAGCCGTCGCTCGCCTCGGACGGCGTGCGACGCGCGACGCGGGGCGTGGCAGCGCGCGGACACCCGTCCACGGGTAGGACGGGAGGCGCGGTTGCACGGGTGCAGCGCGCGACGCCGTCACCGTCGGCAATTACACGCACTACCACTACACGCACTACCACACGCACACGGGCAGCACCCAGGAGGCCGTCGGCTGCTACACCATCGCCGCGCACTGTTACACTCACACGCGCGCAGCCGGCGGCCGTGGTGCTGCTCTCGTCGTCGTCGTCGGAGGAGCATGCACCACCACTCACGCGCACCCGCGCACCGACAACCTTCGCGGAGGCCGTCGCGGCGACACCGCGGGCAAGTATAACGCCGACGAGGACGTCTTCTTCGTCGGCGGAAGCCCGCGGTGCATGTGCGGCGGCCATGTTGGAGCAACAGGAGCGATCGGCCACGAAGCATGCGGAGACTAGATGCGGGGCCCCTAGCGCGGCCGTGGTCACGCCGCCATTGGCCGCCGCATCTGGGGAAGAGGGCGCCACCTCCCGGGTCGGTAAATTACGCGAGTTCTGGGAGTCCTCGCCGGAACAACGCCCGCCGGTGGCCGAAATAGGCCATACGGCGGCCAATTGGAGGACTCCCAGGCGTAGCTCTGTGGAGCCGACCCGACGGGCGTGCAACCGAGGCGACCGCCGTTCCGACGAGAAAGACACCATCCTCGTTGGGCGGCGGTTCGTTCTCGAGCGCAGGGTCCCTCGGGGGGACTCCGCCGACCACCTGCGGAGCATCCCCGGGGGGCCTGGCTGGCATTCAAACGCCATGCACGCCCGTTTCAAGGACGGTGGCGACCCTCACCACCGTCACCATCACAGTCTCCACGGCGGGGAGCCCGATCATGTCGACCGGGCTCCCGGGCGCGGGTATACGGGGCGCGATTTCCTCGCCCCCTCTGCCCCGCGCCCAGCCGGTGGGACGTCCCCAGCGGCGGCCGATGAGCGGCTCAGGACACCACCAGGGACGACCACCAGCCCACCGGAGGGAGGAGGAAGAGGAAGGAAGAGCAGCAGCCCCCCTCCGAGAAGGATGACCCTACGGCCGCGCAGGGCGGGGGCCTCGCGGAGGCCGGCCGCTCTCTACACGGAGGACGAGGGTGGCAGGGACGGCGACGACGAGGAGGGTGCCGACGGTGGCGGCCCGTGGACGGCCGCCATCCCAAGGTCCGCGCGGCGAAGGGCGCGCCGCGCGCGCGTACGCTCGTCGGATGAAGAGGCCACGAGCGCGGCCTCCCGGGCGGCACTCGAACCGCCGCCCCTCACGGAGGCGAATTTTCACCCGCTTGCGGGGGTGGGCGCGGCGCGAGGCGGAGGGACGCCGCCGGTTCGGAGGGTGGAGGAGACACGCGCGCGAGATACTGGCGGGGGAGGCGCCGGAGACGGGTCCGGTCCGCGTAGAGTCCGGGGCGTGATGGGTCGGCGGGGAACACCCGCGTCCGTCGACGCGCATCCGGATGCGGTTCGGGCGACTGCGGCTCCGGGTTCCCGCGCGGGCTGCGGCGCGACGCGACTCGCTAGGGCGCCGCGCAACCCGTCGATGGCGGCGCGCGGTCCTCGAGACGCGCGGGATGCCGCTCCGAACGTCGAGAGACGGACGGGGCGTCAGCTCGCCGTCGAGAGGACGCGGCTCGTCGACGCGGCGGATTCCGTGGCGACGCTCGCCGAGCTCGAGGATCTGGCGATTCAGGTCGCCGGATTCTTCGGGGGAGGCGGGCCAGGGCGTGGCGCGCCGCGCGCTCGTCGACCGCCACCACGCCGGTTGCGTGAGGTCGACGAGGAGTGGCGAGGGGAGAGGGACGCGCGAGAGGGTGGCCGTCAGGGGGAATTGGCACCGGCCAATGTCCCCGATTTATTCGGAGAAGACGGCCGGAACAGGACTCGTGAAGCAGCGCGAATACAGGCGCTCTTCAGGAGGAACCGACGCAGAGCAGTTCGAGAAGTGTTGGCCGGTCCCGCGGAGGTCTGCGATCTGCCGACCGACGTGGTACAGGCGCACTTCGAAGAGCTGTATCGCGGAGGGGACGACCTGCGCCGAGCCTGCGGAGCGAGCCGACGTCCCGGGCGAGGACGGCGGTGCGGCGGCGCTGATGGAGCCGTTCACGGAGCGAGAGGTGTGTCGTCGGCTCCGGCGTGTGAATAACTCTGCGCCGGGTCCAGACGGCATAACCTACAAGGACCTCCGTGCAGCGGATCCATCGGCGCGGCTGCTCGTCGCCCTCTTTAACGCATGTTTGCGGCTCGAGTCGGTTCCTGCCGTCTGGAAGACCTCCAACACAGTCATGGTGTACAAAAAAGGAGATCGCGGTAATATAAATAACTGGCGCCCTCTCGCGTTGGGGGACACCCTGCCCAAACTTTTCGCCGCCGTGTTGGCTGATCGTATCACCGAGTGGTGCGTGGTCAGCGGGAAGCTCAGTCCGGCTCAGAAGGGGTTCCTAAGGGGCGGGGGGTGCTTCGAGCACAACTTCGTCCTGCAGGAGATCTTGACTGATGCCCGGAGGAGCCGCAGGGAGGTGGTAATCGCGTGGCTGGACCTTTCCAACGCGTTTGGATCGGTTCCCCACGGGGCGATCCGCCGCGCACTGGTTCGCGCGGACGCGCCAGCGGGCCTCATCGCCGTATGGGGCTCGCTGTACGATGGTTGCACCACGCGGGTGCGAACCGCTGATGGCTTCACAGCGCCCATCCATATTCGCTCGGGCGTACGCCAGGGATGCCCGCTGAGTCCAATCGTGTTCGATCTCGCGATCGACTCCGTGCTGCGTGCGGTCACGGCTGTCGATCTCGGGGTCGAGCTCTTGGACTCGCGGTGGTCAGTAATGGCCTATGCAGATGACCTGGTACTGGTCTCCAGGACACCCGACGAAATGGAACGACTGCTCGCAGTCGCGATGAACGAGGCATCGTCGGTCGGGTTGCGGTTCAACCCTGCCAAATGCGCCACCCTGCACATCGGTGCAGGCGGAGCGGGCAGGATCCGACCGACGACCCTCCGGATCCAGGGCCAACCGGTCCGTGCAATGGCCGAGGGCGAGGCCTATGAGCACCTCGGCATACCGACGGGCTTCGGGGTCAACCAGACTCCGCATGCTGCCATTAGGGTGCTACGTGACGACTTGGCGTCGGTCGACCGTTCCCTCCTCGTCCCGTGGCAGAAGACTGAGACCGTGGCGACTTTTTTGTTGCCGCGGCTCGACTTTTTGCTGCGGGGAGCCGCAGTGGAGAAGGGCCCCCTCAAGGAGCTCGACCTGCAGATCCGCAGGTCCTGTAAGATGTGGCTCAACCTCCCGCAGAGAGCGAGCGCCGAAGTGGTCTACATGCCCCTCGCAAGAGGGGATGTGGGCTACTTCCTCTAGCTGACCTCACCGACGTCCTCTCGGTCGCGCACGTCTTCCGTCTTCTGACGGCGGACGACCGCGCGGTCAGGGACCTGGCTTGGGCGTCTCTGCGGGGAGTGGTTGCACGCCGCATCGGCCACCCCCCTGGTTGCGACCAGATCGCCGCCTTTCTCCCGGGGTCACTCGAGGGGGGACTGAGGGGGGAGGGGAAGCGCTCCCTGTGGTCGAGAGCGCGGAACGCCGCGCGTCATCAGTCGGATCGCTGCGCCATCCGGTGGCTGTGGAGCGAGGAGCGCCGCGAGCTCGTCCTTCAATGTCGCGGTCCGCGGGGCAGATCCCACCTGGGGTTCGTGCCCAGGTGATCGGACGCCTGCGTGCTGCGGTGGCGGAGTGGTATGATACCACCTTGTCGCGGAAACCAGACCAGGGGAAGGTGTTCGAGGTGTCGTCTCGTCATCGGGTGAGCAATCACTTTATGCGGGGCGGCAGCTTCACCTGCTTCGCTGATTGGCGTTTTATCCACCGTGCTCGTCTCGACGTGTTGCCGTTGAACGGCGCACGTCGGTGGGGAGAGGGTGATAGACGTTGCCGGCGATGCGGGGCGGAGTCCGAGACCCTTCCTCATATGGTCTGTCATTGCGGACCCCACTCCGCTGCGATCCAGTGGCGTCACGATTCGATCCTGCTCCGACTCAGCAGGGCTTGCCGTCTGCCAGGGGACGTGACCGTGAACCGGCGGGTCGAGGGCATCGATGGGGAACTCGGCGAGCTACGACCTGATCTCGTGATCAGGCACGAGCCGTCGAAGAGTGTCGTCATATGCGATGTCACGGTGCCATTCGAGAATCGGCCAATAGCGCTCGAGGAAGCTAGGGAGCGTAAACTCGCCAAGTACGCTCCCTTGGCGGAGGCGCTCGGTCAACTCGGGTACCGTGTCGTCGTGACGGCCTTCGTCGTCGGTGCGCTCGGCTCCTGGGATCCGCGCAATGAGCCAGTGCTGAGACTGCTGCGTATCGGCAGTACGTATGCGTCCATGATGCGCAGGCTCATCGTGTCGGACACCATACGCTGGTCTAGGGACATCTACGTGGAGCACGTCTCTGGCGTCCACCAGTATAGGGCTCCTCCACGCCGAGCTGATGGCGGCGTAACCGATGTCTCGCCGCCGCGCGCGATTAGCCGCCGTGTGGCCGGCCCGCGAGCCGACGAGGCGGCGGAGATATAATTGTTCGTGAGTATGAATGTCGCGTGGGGCCACCGGCCGGAGAGGTGTTCCTGTAACAAAAAATAAGTTATTAATTTTTATCTATTTATCTATCTATTTATTTATATTTATTTATCTATTTATTTATTTATTTGTATCCATGTATTTATTTATTTGTCCATCCTCTGGAATGTTGACTGCCGCGGGGGCGGCGGGGGATATGTTCCGCCGTCGCGCCCGCGGCTGATATATTTTTAGGCGACGGACTACATTTTTATTCTATATCTTATTTTATTTTAATTATTTATATTGTGTCGTGTTCAGGAAATGTGGACTGCCGCGGGGGGGGGGGACGGATGTCCTCCGTCCCCTGTCCCGCGGCTGAAATATTTTAAGGCAANAAAATTACATCAATCACATGTATGGATGGTTATCAGAAAATCTCTGTATAGTTAGTGTAAAATTCAAAAGTTTTGTAAATATTCTTCTTGAAAAGAAGAATTATATTACTAATATACATACTGCAACAAAAACAATACAAGAAAGCAGCGACTTTGAC